ATTGAGCATTCTGAATGCATTTCTGGCTTTACCTAAACATTAGAGAGCTAAGAATAAAAGCAGAAAAAGTTCATCCATGTCAGCAAAAAAGAGAAAACGGCAACAAACTGTTGAAAGCTGTCACTTGTTGGATAAACTAATGCAGTAACAGGAAAAAAAAAAAAAAGTTTTTCAGCCTTGAGGTTGTACGTGTCAGGAAATCATTTTTACAAGATCTAAGATGAAACTAGAAAGATGCAGCGCCAAAGCCTAGTACTGAGTGACTGCGCAAATTTACTAAAGAACCCACAACTGAATCAATAAAGGTAAAACTAAACAAACACTAAAAAACAGCTAAGTTAAATACTAATTTAGCAAAAGGGCAGCTAAATGTTAAAATCAGTAATGCATTAGCTAAATTACCAAAACGCATATTAAGATCTAAAATGAGAACAATAACATTAAAACTAGCACAACAAGAGCTGAAAGCAGCATAACAGGAGCTAAAAGCTAGAAATGAAGCAATTATGCACAAGTAGATTAAAAAAAAAACAGTTTTTCAATTATTTGAAGATGTCTAAATGCAATTATATAAGGAAAAAAAGTAAATTATGTTAAATAATCAAAAAGTATAAAAGGTACAAAAGCCGTAATGTGAATGAGCTGAACATTTTGATTCCTCAGTGGCTGAAATAGCTCAAACTAAGCTGAAGTAGTTGGTTCAAAACAGAAACAACGTAAATGCTGACTCAGCATTCACACCCCTTTTTAATGTCGTTTATTTGAAAATAACTACATGAAAATGTGGAAGCAATGTTTTTTTTGACAAATGATTTCTGCAGAACCAGCTTTAGCAGATGTAGTGTGATCCAGTTATTGTCTTTGACTCTCAGTTTCTCACATTAAAAAATAATTGCAGCGTTCTTTCTATTACCGGTAATGTTGGCAGGCATGTGCACAGCTCTCTTCAGGTCCGACCACATTTCTGTCAGGTTCAGATCTGGACTTTCAGTGAGCTTTTGTACCAACTTTACTTTTTAATTCTTTGCAGCTGATCTGTTAAAGGTGTTTTGTTGCTTGTTACAGAGGAGTTTATGGTTGATGGTACGTTATAATATGTTGAGTTCATAAAGTTGGATCTAATTAATTACATTTTTATTAATAATCATATGATTTTAATATGTTTTGATGAAACCTTTAGAGTTTGTACTTTGTTCAGGATGGTGTTTAATCTTAAGGCTATGGTTCTCAGACACTGCTCTTACACAGCAGGACAATATCACACTTGTATTACAGAAAAAAAAGACTTAAAGGCACATGAGAGAGAGGTTTAGATAGAAGAGGAAAGAATAGTGCCTCGCCACATCACTTCCATGACTGAACGCAACAAATTTCTAATAACCACATCTTTTAATCTACACCTTTAACCTCCATCTTCTTAAAGACACATTTCAAATATATACTTCCCAATACTGAATACAGTAGCCCTCGATACTTCGCGGTTCGACTTTCGCGGATTTGCTCTTTTGCCGGTTTTCAACGTAAGATTGTACACAACACACAATTGGCGATGGGGAAAAACAGACCCCACACCCTCCTTTCTCTTTCTGAGGCTATGACAGCCTCAGAAAGAGAAAGGAGGGTGCGGGGTCTGTCATTCCCCATCACTACTGTTCAGTCTGTGGGAGCTGATACCTGAGCGAGCGGCATGGATTGTTTATTTAAAATAATCAAGCGCAACCTGAACCGACCCTTTGGTCCAGCCCCTTGCGATCACTGAGCGGGCCAGACCCCACCTGGAAATGTCCCGGCGCTCCCGATGGCCAGTCCGCCCCGTGTCGTGCCAAAAAGTGATGGTCTGACAAAAATTGATATTAACCGTGGGAGCTTTTTTGACCATTAAAATGCATTTATTAAGGAAAAAGTAAACAGAGACATACCTTTTGCTATAATCTTGAGCAAACAATCATTTTTAGGTGTTAATTTTGTTAAAATTTTTAAGAACTGAAATGGTGAATCCTCTCTCGCACGCTCTCGTGGTGCCAGTCGATTTTTGGCAGACCAGCGCTTTTTGGCACAACACCGGGATTAGCTAAGTAACCGTAGCATCAGTTTGTCTGCCCTCTTTTCATTGTTCTCTTTAAGAGCGTTTAGAGAGTTTAGAACATTAACATTGCAAGAGTGCACAAAGGGTTAATAAAGTCTTCAAATTAGGGATGCACAATATTGGATTTTTGGCCGATATCCAATATGCCAAAACTTATTTGACCAATACTAGTACCAGTTTATTTTTTATTTTTCTAGACCTACTTACAGAGACTACATAGGTTTCTCTGCTGTGGAATTAAAATTAGGGATGCACGATATTGGATTTTTGGCCGATATGCGATATGTTAAAACTTATTTGACTGATCTGTCCTTTGTCAGAACATAGCTCTCTTATTTTGGCTTATTTGCTACAAAAAATGTGCAACAGCTGTAAGAGCTGGTGACATATATTCAGTAACAGCCATATGAGATGCATAGCACTTTGACTTAAATTAAATGAAAATTGTTAAATGTTATTTATTAGCATTAGTCACCTGCAATGCTGTCTCACTTGTGGAGGCTTGTTCCAGGTTCGACATCCTCACCAACGAAAAATGCAACTTCCACACCGCCGATATTTTGAAATTTCCTCTACGCCGTGAGAGATCAGGTAGATGCATGTGACGTCATCGCATTGTTGTGACATCATGACGTTGTTGCAACGTCATCACGTTGTGCTGCCACTGCAGGCAAAAACAGCGCCTTTTATATCAGCAAGTTATTTTAATGGAATGGTCGATGTCTGATATTGAACTTGAATGTTAATATCGGCCGATACCATGCCAATAATATTGTGCATCCCTAATTAAAATTCTACATTATTCTGCATGGTGTTTGTTAGTTTGGCCTGCTACCAAATGCAGATGTAAAAAATATATACAAATGTATGCTTTATACCTGTACAATATGTAACTACTTTGCAAAATGTGTCCTTGAGGGAAGAGTGTGGATTAAAAGTGTGGATCATTGTAGTGAAGCCTTCTTCTTCAACCATCGACAGAGACCTCATGTCAGTGACAATTATGTTTTCAGTGAAGACAGCTGCTTGCTGTGGTGAGCATGATGTCTTTCCATCATGAAGGCTGTCATTGTTTGTTGTTGTTTTCTGGAATGAGAGAGTAAATATGTATTGCATCATAATTTATAGCAACTCAAGAAATGCCTCGTTTCACTTACAGTGTTGGGTTAAGGCAAAAGTAGCTCAAAGAGCAGTTAAACACACACACACAGAATACTTAATTGCACACGTTTGAGTAGACGTAATAAGTTCCTTTAATTCCTGTTTAAATGCAATTCATCCTGCCATACATGCAGTGTCACTCAAACTTTGCCGGAAAATTAAAACGTGAAGCTTAATCATTAAATTATTACCATCTTTGTGTTAGATTTATGTATAAATCACATTTAAACACTGCTTGTACCAATTAAATTAAATAAAAAAAAATAATGCACATGTTCTCTATCATTGCCATTAATCAGATAAACAAGCAGCAGCATCAGCTACCAGAGAGACTGACGTTACGTTTTCTCACTTGGAAACAGAACAAATGTGAATATTGTAGAGACTCACCTGCAACACATGAGTTGAGAGTGAGACGAGTTGTATCTGCTGCTGCTCCTTCATCCTCCTCGTGACTCCGACATGTCTACGTCTCATCAGCGTGGTTCTCCCGTGTTGTGTCGTCACTTTTTCAAAGCTGCATGTTGCGCAGTTTTTATCTTTGTGAAGTTCTTCCACACTTTTAACGACTTGGGTCGAACCGTTTTCGCTGCGTCGGTCATTTGTAAAATGTATTTAATCTCCTTTGAAAACGCCACCTCTGCTCTGCTCCCCCCCTCGCTCTGTTCAACTCGCGCTGCAGTTTAAAAATTTTTTTTAACTTTATTCAGTCAGCCAACATTGACAACGCTCTGCTGGTGAACAAAACGGCTCCGCAGCGCCGCGAAAGAATCGATAATGGAATTCGTTGCCAACACTTTTAATAATCGATTTTTATTGATTTTATCGATTCGTTGTTGCAGCCCTAATATATATATATTATATATATATATATATATATATATATAATATATATATATATATATATGTATGTATATATATATATATATATATATATATATACATACACACACACACCTTTTATATCTGTAATTTATTTTGATTAAATAGCCGATGTCCAATATTTAATTTTCTCTAATATCAGTCAATACTGATACCATGCAGATATCGTGAATCCCTACTTAAAATATATTTAAATCCTAAAATAAATATAACGTCTTCAGATTTTCATCTATCACTGGGGTGTCTGGAACGTAAACCCCCACGATAAGTGATTCCCAAAAAGTCCACATGATTTTAAATGGCAATCTTTTAGAAAACAAGAAATGATTTGCACTGGTTCCGTGTAGCTCTCTTCAGCTTGATCTCCTGAAAGTCTTTGTTTTAGCGAGAACTTGATCAAAAACGCTGAGTCATGCTGAAGCTGCGCTGGCCTGAAGTGGCCTTGATAACGACTTTGGTTCTGACCACATTCTTTCTGCTTGTGAACATTAACACAAGTGCTTTAATGTTCAACAAAAGTGTGTTGTTTTGACAGGTGGTTCTTAAAGGAAATGTGAAATATATCTGGTTTGTATGAAAGGAATGGTTTCTTGTTTGTTTCTCACTCAAGAGTTTTTACGCTCTGAAGATATTTGGCCGATTGCACGACTTTGATTTAGCTGTTTGTGTGTTCAGACGTGGTTTTTGGCATCAAGGTCCAAGTTGCTACTGTCAAATCATTACCTCAGCGATTTTCCTGTTGAGGGGTAGAAAATTAGCGTTCTCCTCCCCCCTCTGTCCGATCAGAGGACACACCTCTCCAGGTGCAGATCTGTCTCCTCCTCACTTCATTACTCACGCTGCTCGTCTGTCTCTCACTTTGTGTTTTCAGTCTAAGATGCCCTGAGAGGGAGAAGAGAAATGTAAATGGCTTCCAAAGTAAAAGATGCTGTGGTGTGGTACCAGAAAAAGGTAAGAACATGTGTAACTCTGCTTTGGTTTTGCTTCTGTATAAAATGATTATATAAAGATTGGTTATCACTACATTTATTTAAAAATAAGTCGTTTTACTGCATATCTGCTTTAGAAAATAAAATCCTCTAGTAAGTTTTGCTTTAACAGATTTGGGATAGTTTAAAAAGACGAGGCTGGTGGGGAAAAAGATGCGGTTGTATTTACCTGAAATTCTCCCGTTTTGTTGGCTTTGTGTGTTTGTTTGTTTGTTTTTTAATAACTTGAGCAAAATGTTTTTTTTAAATGATAAAAGTTCAATATTCATGTGAGCTTACACTACTGCTTTCATTGTCCATTCGCTCATTTTTATTTTGCAGCACTTTGAGATTTTCAACAAATCTGATGTTGAAACAAAAATATAAAACCACAATTACTCTTAAATTCTGCAAAGTACATATCTTTGTACAACATCATCTCTAATGGTGTTAGGACAAAATCAAAACGTTTAAAAATAATTTAATTGCATATCAGAATGAAAGCAACAATGTTCAGTTTAAAACTTGCACGGTCTAAATAAGTTTATGATGCAGTGCTGCTAAAATGTGTCACGTTTTATAACGAGCAGAAGTTATGGGTCAGTATGTTGTTCTGTATCTTCATCAGTCAGGATGGAGCTCATCCACAACACTGACGTTTGCAGAGCGTCCTCATACTGAGTTCAAGCTTGTCCTCACGGCTGTCAGCAGCTGCAGCAGGTCCGAGTCGTTCAGGACGGTCCGCACCGGGCTGGTGTTGGATGTCCTCTTGTTCCGTTGTCTCAGATATCGGATCCTCTGCTGCGCTGCTCAGCTTACACCCTTCATCTGCCCCCTCGTACCTGTCTGCCGTTTCAGCCTCCTCCAGCTCTTCTGTCTCTGCCTTTAAATTTACCCTTTTCTCTGATTGTTCCGCTCGCAAGACGTTGATATCAACTTGAGCTGTTCTGGTATCGGATCACACTGAACATGACTCATCAGAGGTGACAGACTCTGATTAAAGGTTTACTCTGAAAACATTAATTTCTGTAAGAATAAACACTAGTTCTCAAATATGATTACAGACAAGATTAAAGTCTTGAGGCACCACCAGAACTAAAACGTTTTAATTAAAGCGTTAAAAGTTGGATTATGACTAGGATGTGTAAAGATTGGGCTTGATGACTTTCACAGGGTATCTGGTTGCATGTGTTTTGTCAACCTAAGCTTGTCTGGGCAGAAGCATCACCAGAGAGGACAATCGCTGAGTCAGGAATGAATAAACGTTTTTTAAGGAGATGCCACACCTGTCGACAGGGCGTCTTTACTCACAGCCTCTCATTTAAGTTGGTTAATTGCCTTTGTCCCCCACCCTAAACATCATACTTCATGTCATGTACAACTCAACTAAAAACAATCTGTTCCAGGGAGAAGATATTGTAAAAAATGAAAAAAGCTATAAATTTACACACCCTTAAATGAACACTTTGTTGAAGTACTTGGTTTGTTTTGTTTTCTTGGAAACACACCTTCTATCAATTAAAGTGACAGGAATTAAGTTCAGCTGTCATGGTAGGATTTTCCTGTAGTTTACTTGGTAGGATCTTTTATCAAAATCCAAGGTTCACAGAGCTCACAAGTACTGATGAAATGATCTGCCAAGAGGTCTACAGCAACACCGAAGGAGCTGCAGGAACTTTAGCATGTTTTGTACTACCGGTGACAACAATCTCCTGTGTTCTCTGCATGTATAGACCCTGAGGGTAGGGTTGTAAAACAGAAATATTTTCTGTAAAAAAACATCCAGGCCTGGTTAAATAGCACAAAAATTACATCACTGGGAAAATATGTTAAGATCTGATGAACCCAACGTTTCAGAAGATCTGATAATGCAAGAACAAGATCGTTAAAAAAAACACCAAAACCACAGCGAAACATGATGGTGGCAGCATCATGCTCTCTTTAGCGTTTCCTCAGCTTAAACTGAGGTTTTAGTCAAGGTGGATAGAATTATGAACAGTTTTATTCTAAAGCCTTCAAGTGGTTTCTTCTAGAAGGCTGAAGATAAAGAGGAATGACCCCAAACATACAGTAGTCCCTCGCAACTTAGCGGTTCATTTATCATGGACTCGCTCTATCACGGTTTTTCAAAATAAAATTGGACATGGTACAATTGGCTGATTGATGGATGAGCTGCATGATCAGCGTGGAATTTTTATTTAAATTTTATTATAAATTATTTAGCACCTCCTGCACCTGTGTGGAGCCCATACTGCAGGATAAACTTCCTGCTGCAGCTGATCAGCTGTTCTCTGTGCAGAGTGGAGACGTGGGCGTGGCCAAGAGCGCTTGCAGATGGCTGAGAGCAACTGAGGCAGGGAGCTGAAATCATGACATTCTGTGCTCTTTTAAAGTGTTTAGAAACATTGTTTAGAATATTGCAAGAGTGTAGGAAGAAATGCCTATATATATATATATATATATATATATATATATATGCACATTATGTATGCACATTAAAGTAAACTACTACTACTTACCACTCGTACTACTATTTCTACTTCACTGTTTTTCAATTATCGTGGGGCTTCAGGATACGGATCCCCACGATAAATGAGGGACTACTGTGTATGTATATTTATATTTAGAAATATGTATGTATATGTATATATATATATATATATATATATATATATATAT